AGGTGGAAAACAGAAAAAAACAAACGGACCCGCTGGGGGGGGGGGGGGGGGGCATAAATGCTGATACAACTCTTCAATTATCAGATTCACAAGTGCTAAAATGGGTTGGGATAGAAGGAAAGTATAATTATTTTAGTTATGGTGGGAAATTAAGACTTAGCATTTTTAATAAAGATTTAGAATCCTTTTCTGCTTCCTTCTTATTTCTGCTTTCTCTTAATTCTGCAGTCTTTTCTTCATGTTGCATCTTATCCCTGTTTGTTCACAATTTTACAGTTTCTTATTATAGATGCCCATGTTTGAGACATTATGGTTCTCTGTCTTTAAACAACTATTGAAGGAAATAATTAAATAATACGAATTAGGAATAAAGGAATAAAAGTAGGAATTAGGAATCAAAATATCATTATACAATAGCAATTATATTACGTTTAATATATTTGCTAAATTTATCACCAACTCCCCTCTAAATATTTCCTGTGCCCAATTGTTGTTATAGAGGATTGAGTAAAACCAGAATCTTAATCTTGTTCTGGTTTGAGTTTGTGAAATTGTTAACGAAGAAAACCAATTTTTTTCTTCTAGAATGAACAGACGAGATAGTTGGTTTAGACACTAGATATGCAGTCTTTTGTGGTACTTAAGAATACTTTTCAGGGTAGAATTACATTCTATAAGTGTTTCATGAATAAAACTCACAGGCATCTCTAGTATTTACTAGGACAATTAAACTAACACACTTTAACTGTGGAATATTCGGAGTATCCAGAGTTGAAATGGCAACCTCACAATTCTTCCTGTCTGCAGACGTTAACAGTTCTAGCTGTTTGAGAGGGCAAGGAGCATGTACTAATTACAGAAAGTTCATTGTGCATTTAGAATATTGAATTGTTCCTATGCTAGAGAAAAAGCTAGTTCTGAATAATTACACTTTTCTAATTGCTTTAATGCCAATAAGGGTGTACAAATATACATCATTATTGATATTGAAAGTGCAGTTTAGCAAAGATTTCCCTACTGTTCTTTGCAGGCCAGGATACTCTGTGGGGAGCTTTGCTATAATAACAAAAAACTAGAATGTCAGAGGTACTTTTCACTGTTTCTTTAGAATTTTTTTCTTTAAGATTTCAGCAACATTAACCTGACCTTGATTAAGAAATGGCTGAAAAGCATGCTTTTAAAAAGGAAAATGAAAAAGAACAATATCTAAAATGCCACAAATCAGTAAAATGTTCTTAAATGCTTATTTTAAAATCTGGTTCTGAACAGCAATATTGATAAATGGAGAACAAACATGCTGCCTACTAATCACACAAAATTTGTACAGGTAGCAGGACCTCTTAAAGAAAGACAAATCACTGCTGTATTACAGAGTGAGAGCCATAAGAAGCTGGGAAACAAGAGCCCAAAGCAAATGGGAAAGCTGATTTCCATTGACAGCCATTCTTGCTTATAAAAGCCTCCCCAAGGACTCCATCTTAGCCCGAAGCTTTCAGCGTGGAAGTCTGCCCTATTGCAACCACTGACAACACCAATCTTAGGCTAGTATTACAGTCCCACTACATGTGGTTCAC